CCTCCTACATGTCACACACTGGACCACAAATACAGTAAAAGGCAACATTGCTTTGAATTATCACTGTTACTTATTGTTCTAAAGTACGTTTTACTAAAAATATCTTCATAATATGGAGTTTTTGTTTTTGCTTTAGGCTTAGAATGACCCCTTTTCCATTATTTGTAATGATCCATTATATTTTCAGTCACATTAATCGAAGGACTCAGTTTGAGAACCCGGTCCTGGAAGCCAAGAGACGGCTGGAGCAGCAGAGGCAGATGCAGAGCCAGGGACTCTCTGCACTACCGCTGCCCACTATATTCAGAGGTACACATGGAATACCACAGTACAGTACAATATGTGCTGTACTTACATCAAAACATACTGACATACTCTACAGAATTGCGCAAATATAAAAAATGTAAGGACTGCAGAAAGGATATTCACGGCACGTGGCCTTGGCAGTGAAACTTGTGTGCTGAGAGATTTTTAAATTAATTGTAAATTCTCCCAGTTGCACAGAAATATTTTATACGGAAAATTCATTGTTCTCTTACTCCATCTAAAAGAATGTGCAGTTTTATGAGTATTTGACAGGGCAGATGCACAGTGTACAGGGTTGAATGGAGCTTGCTGGCAGTGCGGGGGACATAGAACATGCTCGCCCTGAGGCCCCTAGTGGACTAATCCAGGCACGCGTATAAGGACAATACTAGACCAGTACATAATGTACCGCTTTATCTGAGTGAAAACTGCATATGTCCAATGAGTCATCTTATCAGGAATTAAGGCACATCTTTATTGGTGCTTTTATATTCAGGAAAAAACTTACAATCGGTTCTTTGAGCACTGAATCATGACAAAATAAAATTTCAAGCAAAAACAATAAAGCAAACAAAATAAGGTTTCTAAATATCAAGGATATCTAAAATATCACACTTCAAAAACCTTCTTTCTCTGCAGAGAAGCCGTTGTTTACGAGGGATCCGACCCAGCTGAAGGGCACCTTCCTGTCAACAGCCCTCCAGAAGAGCAACATGGGATTTGGCTTCACGATTATAGGAGGCGACGAGCCCGACGAGTTCCTGCAAGTTAAGAGCGTAATACCAGACGGACCCGCCGCTCAGGACGGAAAGATGGACACAGGTAATTATGTGTACCAACGCAGAATTTTGACAACTGGTTGAGAAATAAATTGAGGTTTAAACAAACTACAAGCTGTCACTGCTGTCACTGCTGTCACTGCTGATACCGTAATACTGTGTTTATAGGAATTCTTAAGCACGGCCTCATTATTCTGACACCTCAACATTATGGTCCTTCATTTCCTGCCAAAGCAGATCAACTGCGAAGACTTTTTGCTGGCAGAGTTTCAATTTCATTCGAGCAGGTTTTTACCTGCCTGTGGGGTAATTTCTATCAACACCTGTTGTACCTAAAAGGCCAGAGGAGTGCAGTAGAGTGTAAGTATGCAGTAAATTTGGGCCTGCAGTGTAATTCTGGCATCAAAAGTTAAACTTGTGCCTCTCTGTGTGCCAACTCAGAACATTTAAGCATAAGCACTATAGCTTTAGTTAGTTGTAGTCCATGATAGTTTGTGCAGCCTCAGTTTCACCAAATCTTGATTGTGTGGTTCTGTGACAAAGAAAGCATTAATAAATCATAGATATTTTGGGGTCCTGATGTCCTATAGAAAATATTTCTTCCCCCAATATACAACATACAAAAGGAGGCACAACACAAAAATATCTTTATTCATTCAAACCTGAAGGTTTGGGACATGGGCCTGCCTCATGCCTCTTTTTCCACCTTTTGTCTGAGTGCAACAGTTTTTGAATCTTTACACACTCAAGCACCGTTTATGAAATTGTTCTAAGCTGTATAATAAATAAATGGTATCACAATGATGTGAAGAAAATTACAGTGATGCTCCAAGAACTGTTGAAGCACATCTTAGAAATGAATAACTTACTGGTAGAGGGTTCCACATCCCCTGAAATATCAATTCATCTTAAAAGAGGACATCATTGGCCTTCGGTGGCATATTTGGGGTGTCCTATATTTGTGCCTGTAGCACTGTATGTCCCTGACAAGGACTTCAGGTTCCTCTCAGCACAATCTCTGTCCTCTGTCAGTGCACTTTAACATTATGTTGTTAATGTGGAGGAAAGGGAACTGATTTGATTGGCCATAACTGACACCAGCCCACACATCATCTACTTCATCAGTAGATTCATTTCTGCTTAAACAGCACTGCAGGGGCAGCATCACTACACTAGCACCAGTGGTCATGGTTTTATCAAAATTCAGTCATACACAGTTACACCAGTGCCATGAAACTGTCTCATACTTGTGTTTGTGCTTTGATTTAAAAAACCAAAAATGTGTAACACAAGCAGTAATTCAGTTTCATGTGATCAATTGCTGTATGTTGTTCTGTTTGAAAGCACCAGTTAACAGACTTACATGGAGAACAAAGCTGATGTTAGTAAAAGTCATAGTAGCCTATAGTCATAGAGGCTTAGAGAAGAAACTACTATATGAACTGCTCTGAACCTGTGAGCTGGCCCCATGCCTGGCATGGTTGGTGCCTAAACTGCTCATTTAGAGCTCATTTCGGAGCTGGAAATCATCCTTCCTAGTCTCAGCTCTGGCTCTCTGCTTTTATGTCTCTCCCTCTGCCTATCAGTTTCTTTTTTATCCGGAATCCATCTCTTTCTATTTTATCTCCATCTCTCTCTTTGTCTATCTGGCTTACCCTTTATTATGCTTCCTTATCTAACCATGTCATCTGACACTTCTCCTCTGCTTTCAGCCTCAGTATATTTTCATCCCCTTTCTCTTTCTACCTCTCTAGTTTTTCTCTCGTTCATCCCTCTATCCTGGTCTGTCAGCCTTTTCCTCTCTCTCTGTTCTGATTTCTCTCTCTCCCAACTTGCTCCTCTCTGCTCTGTGACATTGCCAGAGCTGCTTACATAGATGCATGCTCGCACACATTCACACTCACCCATGCACACGGTCACAGAGTCACACACAGGCACTCCCTGGCTGAGATTAGCTGGCCTATTTGAGCTGTGCGGCATTGCTCTTAGGGATTGTGTATGATTGTGCATGTGACATGTATGGTGTGTGTTTATGTATGTGAGCACACGCACATGGGAGTGTGTGCGTGTCTGCATGTGTGGCAGAGAGTGCCTCCAGAAGTGTGAAATAGAGGATTTGAGGCAGCTGCATTTGTCATGGGGCTGTAACTTTAAAGCTGAAATCCATAACTTTCCACACATTAAAACTACAGCAGAGATGACAGGGTATCTAGTGTTGCATTTGGGGGGTTGTCTCACCTTGTTGTACGTAAGGTGAACATAACATTTAGGATGATGATTAGGAGGTGACATTAGATAGCTTAGCATAACACACATCATTTGTATTTTGTTTCCAAACAGGGGAGATGCAACATCATCATGCCTCATGCATGACCCAAGACTCGGTTGCTACTTGTAAATATTTGAGATTTTCTTGATTAGAGTATTTATAGATGCACCAGATGGTTGTCATAATCATGGAGACACATCAGGATACTGACCCTATCTTTCTCTCACCTCTCTGTCTCACACATACACTTGTAGATTGCCCTGCAGTGGCAGCAAACTGATATTATATTCCTATATGTGACACTTCGGAGGGACACTGTGCTTCTTCTGTGTTGCTGCAGAATGTCCTGATACCGCTGAGATTTGACATTTATGGCAATAGATGGTGACAAGTTGTATTTTTGCAGCACATGAACCACTGAGAACAGGTCCTGTGGTCTGTCTAACATGCAAGAAATACTAGACTAAGGCCAGACTCTGATCATCCCTTACTGCTAAAGAATAGTCAGTTTTGCAGATTAAAATGTATTTGCCAGAAACACAACATCAAGTTTAAACAAAGTGGACACAAGAAATCTCTCCTAATTAAAAGACAGATCTTTTAAAGACTAAACCTACAGTGAAATCAAATGACCACATTAACAAAACATTGGCTGCTGTCCTGTATTATCAAGAGAAACTATGCTAACACTAACACTTTCCTTCTCTCAAGTCTACTTCCAGTGATCATCACCTCACCACAACCCTACAACCATACTTGTCTATATTATAGTCTGTCTTACATGTAGCATACTGTAGTGAGACTGTGACTGAAGCTGTTGTGTCTCTCCTGTCTCCTTCCTCCTCAGGTGACGTCATTGTCTACATAAACGATATCTGCGTACTCGGCACCACACACGCCGACGTGGTGAAGCTTTTCCAGTCCGTACCGATCGGTCAGAGTGTCACCCTCGTGCTCTGTCGAGGCTACCCTTTGCCTTTTGACCCCGAGGACCCAAGTGGCGCAGCGAGCACCTCCCTGACACCCATTGGCTTGGAGCACCGCCCCTTGGTGGTGAACGGTCGCGGCAGCTACGACCCTTACCTGGAGTATCTGTCGTTGAGCTCCCAGCTGCCTCCTCAGGCTCTGGCCCAGGCCGGAGCTCCTCACCCCGGTGACACACATCTGGATGGCTCATCACTGCCACCCACCACACCTGGTTCAGCATCGGCACTCACGCCCCACGACGACAACGTGTCCATGGCTTCTTCAGGGACTGCAGGGGTTGCTGGGGCAACAGCACAAGGGGCAGAGCTTCTGACAGTTACCATGGTGAAAGGGGCCGAGGGATTTGGGTTCACCATTGCCGACAGTCCCACTGGTCAGCGAGTAAAACAGGTATCATCATCATCTGTACATCTCGTTCATTCACCATTAATAACCAAAAAATTAGAGGGTTCAGACCTGTTTGATATTTTACAGAATTTCACACAGTAAATTTGTTCTTTCAAGAGTGAAATCTCAGTAGTCAGCTAAACTCAGTAGTTGAGTTGAGTTAAAAAATTTAACTTGCAGAATTGAAACAGCAGGGCAAGGTAAATTTAATTCAGTCAACGTGACTAAGTAGAAAGAGATTGAGATAATAAGAACAAAGTGAGCTCAGCCAGTGAAGGATTTGCTATCTACTAACATAGTAATGAATGAAGACTAGACGTCCTAAAGAAGCTGCAGAATAAAAAAATCTGCTTACTTGGAATATTGGCTATAAAGAGGAGATAAATTGGAGAAGATGATTTACGATGTGACTATTTCTCATCCCTGTTGTGTTTGTACAGTTAAACATCTGCAATAGAAAAAGGACATCTGTCTTAACAGTTAATGTGTTTTATATTTTAGCATAAAACAAATTCCTTTAAATGAATTGCTCAAATAAACAAATATATCTCTATATAAATATATAATCTTGTAATGGTGCAGTTGACTGATTCTGTAAACCTTTAAACACAAGAATATTGAACAAATTAGATTTTAGGCACCAATGTGTCATGTCTGGTTTGGTGCAGCATTAATAGGAAGATGGTGAGTTAAGATCCCTCAATATATAAATAAACTATGTGGAGGTTTTCACTCTAACCCAAGATTATTAGTTATGGTAGACAATAGCGGTTTTAATGAGACTTAAAGAGTACCACAAAATCAGATCACAGTCACAATTGTGTGACAGTGGATGCGCTGTGTTGTGCAGGTGCTGGAGCCGGGCTCACAGGGAGCATCGGGGTTGATAGAGGGAGACCTGATCCTGGAGGTGAACCAGCAGCCAGTGGCTGCAGCTGGACATGGACGAGTGGTGGAGATGCTGAAAGAGTGTCCTGTGGGAGCCGAGGCAACACTCCTCATACAGAGAGCAGGAACAGGTGAGAGTTTGTCTGCTTGGTGATTTGTTTATATGCTTCTGATACAGTTTCATTCATTCTAATGTTCATTCATAAGGCAGGTTTATATGTATAGCACATTATAACAATAACAAGGCAATTCTTAGTGCTTTCCATAAAATATAAAAGGCATCAAAACAAAGGATGAAAGAAACACAAGGCAACATTTAAATACATACAAACAATAAAAAGAGTTAAGTAGAACAGATATATGAAATAAAACAGGAGCGTAAATGTTACAGTGTAAGATATTAATCAGTAAATTTAATAAAAGGTTAAAGGAACTGATACCTGCAGTTTTCTGATAGTTTCCAGATATGTGGTGCATAAAAACTGAAAGCAGACCTGTCCCAGACGATCTGAGAGGTCCGGATGGTTCATAACATAGCAGAAGATCAGAAATGTATTTATGGCCCTAAACCATTCAGTGCTTTATAAGTCAACAGCAGTATTTTAAAATCAATTCTTTGACAGACAGGAAGCCGGTGTAAAGACTTCATAACTGGAGTGATGTAATCCACTTTTTGGTGTTAGTGAGAAGTGTCTGATTTTTTTATTTGTAGAGAGACCTGTAAAGAGACTGTTCTTAGGCTCCAAAATTAATTACTTTAGTTTTATCTTTGTTTAATTGAAGGAAACTCTTGCATCTCCAGTCATTCATTTGCTGAATGCACATGTTTTAGTGATTTTAGTCCTCTTGTGATATAAGTATGTAAATTTGTGCGTCGGCTGCATATTTTGCTTTCCATAATCTGAGCTAGGGAGCATGTAGATGTTGAACTGAAGAGGCCCCAGAATGGAGCCCTGGGGAACTCCAGAGGTCA